ATGTGGAGCAGGGCAGTGAGGCCCTCTGTCCCTGTGGAGCTGCATCCAGGCTCATCTGTACCTCTTAGCATCCAGCTGGAGCTGGGAGAGGACCTGCTGTGCTCTTTTGGAGTGTGCTTAGAGTTATGATGTTTTGTTTTGGTTACCTTTTTATTAGTTTCCTATTCCCAGTTGATCATCATATACCTTTTTCTTCTTTTAAAAGGTATGGAGAAGGCATTTGTTGAATTGTATAATCTGATCCTTGTACTGTCCATCCCATTACTGTGCTGTGTGATGGGATGGCCATTGTGCTAAGGGGATACTGGCATTGTCTGAGCTTCAATTTCCCATACTTCCTACAAGGCCAGTGCCTAATTTAGGTCCCGGAATCACGTCAGTCCGTTTTGCACAGCGGAGGTCTATCTCTCAGCTTAGCACCGGGCACAGACCTCTCCAGTCGTGTCTGCGTGTCGTTCCACCCTAGACAAGGCAAGGCGGCAGATACCGTTCCCGGATAGAAACCCAAGCCTTGTTCCTCCCTACCACCCAGCACATCTCCAGAGAACCCAAGGGCAGTTTTATCCACCTCTTACTCCATCTATCTTCTATCTTGAAATCTGTGAAGGTAATACTGTACAGTGAGGTTGGTGAGTGATGGTAGTTTAGAATTAGATTTCCCCTTTGAACAGTTCTTCCAGGTAGTATTTCCAGCGCTCACTGATGGCCTATCAGGGCTTAATGGCTGGCTGAGTTGTTTCTGACATTTCATGTGCTATAGCACCAGTGCTTCTGTAGTAAAATGTCACAGTTAACAGTCAGCCCTCTCCCCCTTCGTCAGTCTTTGGCCTGACAACTCTGGTGACATGGGAAGCTACTTCAGCGTAGAGGCAGGCAGCTGTGCCTCTGGCCAAGCTAGCAGTAGGGTGTGATCCAGGTCCAGAGGGATGTGGCAGGAGCCCCACCGGCCAAAGCAATCACCACCATCAGCTAGAGGAGTGTTCTGGCAGGCGCATAAATGGCCATTGACATGAGCTGCTTTGATGGTGGGGATTTCCAGCAGCAAACCTTTGACTCTTCTCCCTCTCAGCGTCAAGACCATAGGATGTGGTATGCTTTTTCTCATCAGTGTCTGTCTTGGCATCAAAAGATAGTTGGGTCTCAGGGCACTAATGCAGACTTGGGGCTGGGTCCAGTTCCTTGGAGTCTCCCACAGAAAGAATCAGAGAAAGAAGCTCCATTCAAGTAGGTAGACTTTGTTTTTTTAATAAGAAAGAGAGGCATTTTGCACAACCTGCCTTCTAGCCCATCTTTCTAGTAGTCCTATGCTTAGCATCTGTCCTTGAAGGAAAGTTAAGAGAGGGTGAAACGCACTGCTTTGTGTCGCAGAGAGTACCAGGGCAGGTACGTACTGCATGGCAATGGGGGCTTGCACACACAGCATCCACGTGCCAGGTGAACAACGCGTCTCCAGCTCCACTCCCTGTGAAACGAGTCCCTCTTCTTTCCCTTAGCTTTCCTGGCAGGATTTTGTATGTGCCTCTTTATAATGCAGAATATGTGCTGCTCTGATTATTTTTTTTACTTCTGATTATTCAGTACTGCACATAAACAGATGTGCACATAGAAAAGTGCCCCCTGTTAATCAGGAACTGTTAAGCCATATGGCATGTGAGGATGGAATATAACAGCTATGGGATGAGAACCTCCTGTTCAGCAACCAGGTTCACATGCAGCGAGTACCGTGTTAATATATTCTTGCCAACACTGTCAGTTCCGTCATCTGGCAAGTCAGCCTAAGTGACAGCGCAGATTTCTGGAGCGTTCCTTCTCTGCTGAGGTCCTGCTTCTGTTAAGTGAGTGCCGAGAGCTTGTCTTCCCATTTAAAAACTTCGTAAAGGTATGGGTGAAAAAGCGGAGGATGCTCTGAGCTGCCTGTACTGCACTGCTCTTAGATATTGTAGACACAGTGAAGATGCAGTTGGCCCTATTGCATGTCCAGTGGTATTTCTTTGCCCAATTTCTTTGTGACCTGTCTCTTGGAGAATCACAAGAGTAAGGAAGTCCAAGAGGCTTCATGTGTCAGGTGCAGTGTTGTGACTGACGTGCTCTAATGTTGTGAGTGCCCAAGAACAGGCTGACAGCAAGCGTTGCTGCTGAGAACGACCACCATAACCAGTAAATGAGAGGTTTCCAGCGTCGTTTGCCATTATGAGTAATTGTTCTAGTTTACATCAATGTATCAAAGCTGAAAACAAATTCAAAAGGTCACTTTTCTTTTGTTTGTGTGATATTTTAACAGACTCAAGGTACCTAGAGATTCTTCTTGCCTGAGGCAGCCTGAGATCTGGGAAACGCTCTAATAGATGTGTTGTTTATAAGTAGTTACTTCGAAAACACTTTAACATGATACTCCGCTATCATAACTGTTGTCACAGGATTGAAGTTGCCCAGTATCTGAAATCTTATTTAAAATGAAGACAGCATTAGCTCTGTAGCATTAGTTTCTTAGCACACTTAACGTACGGTTGTACGAGCATGGAAACGGGTGTGCTTGCAGCAGAGTTAAAAGTCACTACACAGAATATTGCCTTTAGCAGCTGCCGTATAGTACCAAAATAGCTGCTTCTTTCTCCTAAGAAGTGCAGGCAGCCTGTCTTTAAGGAGGAAGGGAATTTCTGCAGCCCTAAAGAGTTGGTTTCTTTTAGCAGTCAGTCCTTGCAGGGTTCCTCTCTGCACCTAGGCTCCTACTGCCCGATGCCAAGGTGTCAAGCGTCTTACAGTGATTTCCTGTAATGGATGCTTGTAATTTATGCTCTCTGCTTTTGTTTCTTCCAAAGCACAGATCTGTACCTCTCTTGAGAAGAGCCGCTAGCAGTGGGTGTGTTTTCCCTAAAGTGCATTTATACTTTTGTTTCCACGCCTATGGTACTTTTGGCCTTAAACCGTGTTTCAGACTTCTTTGAGATTCAGAGCACTTGGCATATAGTTCATGGGCATCTCTGTGATGCACTTTATCAATTAGAAAGCGAAATCACAGACAACGTTGCTGATGGAGTGTAGTTCTTTGATCCTTTGATTTGGGACTTTAACCATGAGATAACCTTTATCCTTTTGCTGACAGAAAAACTCACCGGCAGAAAACCAAGCCATTGTAAAGGGAGCTGCTCAGGAAGTGTTTGAAGCGTGGTGTTGGGGCCAAGGAAATACCGATGCATTCCAAGGCTAGCTGTAGCAAAAAGGCTGTATTACTGCTTTATTCTGGTGTGATGTGATGTCTAGCAAAAGTTTCAGTGGCAGTGTATAGCCAAACGCTGATCAAGACATGGGGGGAAAATCCAAATTTTTTTAAAAAAGGGGGACACACAGCTTATGTGGTCAAGCTAGAAGCAGGCAAAGTTAGCTTGGGGAGGGGACATTTTAGCTTTGCAATTTCTGTTTCTGTTTTAAGTATCTTTACCATATATTTCAAATTTCAGAATGGGTTACTGCATGCCCCTGCAAGGTTAGACAGCTTTCTCCCTGTTTTTAAAACAAGCTTCACAGTTAGAAACAACTACTCACTACTTTTCAGACCTTCTTAGCAGTACCAGTACAAAGTCATGGTGCACATTGTGGTGCTCAGCTTTTATCTACTGTTATCAAAAAAGTAAAAAAGACCCAATATTAAAGTCCTTAACAATGAACGGCCATTATTTACATGGGGCATTAAATTCATGAACTGCTGCTCTGTCTGTAAACATTTTATTTAGCTCTTTGCTGAGTGGACTGTACCAGAACACTCAGTGTGCGTTCAAAGGGCATCATTTTATGTATCTGCAATCCTGGAGCTGCTCTCTCCTCTTTGTTTAAAGCAGGAGCGTGCCTTGCTGTGATACCTCAGGTCATGGCAGCGAGACTTTGTGCCCTTCCCGGTAAAAGCAGAGCCTTGACTTGGTGGGCAGAGGATTTCAGTGCTTCCGTGGCCCCTGTTTTTCAGGCAGCTCCACCGCACCGGGACACTGCGTTCAAAACTTCTTCATCCGTTGTGTGTGTTGGTTTTTTATATTCTAGCCAGCACATAAAACTGGGAGCTGGAAATCAAGCAAGAAGCACTTTGCTGTGAACCCCCCACTTGAATCTGGAGCACAGGCCACTTGGTGTGTTTGTGTTGAACATATTTAAGCGCGTGAGGCAAGGTTCAGACTCAGAATAACATTACAGGAATGTAGCATCTGTCTGACATCCCGGCTTGGACAAGTATTGAATGAGGAAAGTATGTCAGAATTTCTCTCGCTCAGCATCCCTGTGCTTTATAAAGATAAACTACCAGAAGTGTGTGCTTTTCCATAGATACAGAGGTTATATAATAGCCCCGTAGGTTTTCTGTGGAGGGCTACAGGTGTAAGCGTGTTCCCTCTGAACCACTTTAACAAACGAGTGACTTGAATGATGAATTTTTAATTCTCTAGGCTATAAGAACTAACAAAAAAAAAAAAAAAGCAGTGATTGATTATGTGCTTAATTATGTGCTAGCTGCAATATTGTACGGTTACCAGGGGGAGGCCAGAATGAGTATTTGGGACAGAGCTGCCTTAGGGCACGCAGCTTTTGTAACAGTTCCTGCCGTAGCCTTGCCTCTTTTATCCGGTAAGGACAGCTCCCCTTCCTTCTCTAAAACCATGGCCAGATTTTTGCTATGCCAGTAGCTGGGACCCGGCCTCCTGGCACCGGTGACCTGTCAGACACAGTCTGTTTGTACCTACGTTGATAGCTGGTGATGGCAAACTCTTTGTTCAGTTCAGTCCCCAGAGGAGATCCCCGGTGGAGCACAGACGTCTGCTTGCAAGGACTTGAGCAGTCGCCTCAATTCTCATACTCCGCGTCAGAAACGTGTACTGGGTCTCGGGGAGAGCGGCGGGCCTTTCACTTGATGGAAGTTTGACCCTGCCGGTGCTTATGTGGGAATCCACCACCGCTGTAGTCCTCCGTGAGTCCCTCTCTGACATCATTGGGGTAATTCTGACTGTGCTTTCCTCTAGGAGGACTTTCGGAATAAAGTTGAAGATTACATTAAGCGCTATGCGAGATGATGAAGGGAGATGGATGGCAGGACCATGGCTTCCACACTAGAGGTGTCCTTAACTTCAACAACAACAAAACCAGCCCGGATTGTACTAGTCCTGTGTCCATGTTGTACTGAAGAAGAAAACTAACTTCATAACTTGTCCATGTTAAAAGGAGAGTTCAGCATAAATACAGCAAGAAATTGTGTATGTTGGTTGAAAAAGTTGTTTGCTTACTTTTAAAAATGTTTACTCTTCTGAACTGTACTGTATATCCTGTTGATGAGATATGCTTGAGAAGTTAAAAGAAATCACTATTGAAATTGTAATTACACTTTTTTTTAACTCTTGCCTAGTTTGGAGGGGGAAAGGAAAAAAAAAAAACCAAACAGAAAAGGTGGTGTGTTTTTGGAACACTTTAAGTTGGCAATAAAATGGTCTCCTGTGAACCAAATCACAATACTGTTGCCTTTGATGAGCAGAAACAATACAAGCTTTTTCCAAGAGTCATTCAACTAAGGCTTAGAGCTTGCCAGAATGCAAGCGCTAAATGAAATTCTACGTCTGATTTGAAATTCTTGATGATACTTAATGTAAGTACATTTTTGTCACACATTTGGAATTTTTACATTGTTATTTTCAGCTCCTGTTTGGGCTACAGTATTTTTTTGTTTCTATTCATTGTGTGAAGTAGTAAAAAGAAATATAGGCTAATCCATAACTTAAGTAAATGTGTAGTATTAGTAAAATTATATATATATTATATATATTATATATTTCTGTGAAAATTTAATGAAGGGGAGATTTTTTTAAGAAATCTGCCTTTGGCTTTTGATCTGGACGTGGTGAGGGAGCATCAGATGCTGTTTGATCTGATGAACGTAAATTCAAGCACCGTTACCTGGAGAACACCTAATTGTGTTCTGCAAACTTCCGCACTGAAAGTGAATGACTAATAATGCAGCTGAGAATAATAACGCACTGCACTCTCTTTTAAACACTTGTGTGCGCCTGGCTTTTTTTGGTAATTTGAAAGGATATGATGCTATAATTGCCTTTTCTGTAAGTAGCTGTATATCAAGCACATAGTATGTACAAGCAGAGATCCTTCAGAAGAGAGTAGCACGTACCTCAGGAATCACTTCAGAGTGAAGGCCGTGAGGAGTCTGCTGCCTGTTGTGTGCCAGAGCTCCCCGCTGCTCACCCGCTGACCCAGGCGATGCCCGGGGCTGCCGAGCTGGGGGGCATTGGCATAGCCTCGGAGACTGAAACGCGTTTTGCTCCTGGGATCGCGCAGAGGAGGAGGTGCAATGGAACCGTCAAGCTTTTATAAATAGATGAACCATAGAAATAAATGTTCGTGTGGTTTCATACGGAGCAAGTGTGTGTGTGACGCTTGGACATTGACTGTTGGTTTTTTATCCCCCCGAATGATTATGCTTCATTCTTTCCTCTGCAGACACTGAAGGAAACCAAAACTGTCTCCATCGTTAGCGTGGCAGAGCTGGGATGCAGCTTTTCAGCATGGTGCAGCCTTGCTTGTTAAGTTTTCCCTGTGCCTTTTCCCTTACAGCTTCACAGGCTCCTGTATGCATTGCTGGAGGCCTAGGAAAGCAGGGAAGTGAAATGCAGAGAGAGATTGGCGTGCAGGAGGAGAGCCTTATCGTGAGCTTCATCTTCGGATAATATTGCCACTGCGTCTATTTAAAATGAAACATGGATCAGCATGTTATTTTAAGCAGCAACTGTGGTGAGAGATCTTTGCTGCCAAAATAGTAATGTCAGGAAAGGTATGGAATAAAGCACTCGCAAAAATAGAAAGGTTGGAAAATATGTCCAGTTTTTGCATATTGAATCAGAAGGATTCTGTTATTTTCAAGCTGAAAACGCTGAACCAGTTTGCTTTAACGAAGCTGAGCGTTCCTTGCTGTAGCGGCACCCTGGTGCCGTTATCACCTTCCATCCTTCAGCCAAAGGGGTAAAAGTCGCTGTTTCTTGGGCTGTCACCCACGCCTGGCTCCCCACTCTTGCCTGGAAGCCACTGCAGGTGTACCCAGGGCAGAGCAAATGCGGGGTGCTGCTACAGAGAGCCCGGAAAAGCTGTGTCAGAGCGTGCAGCGGGTTTGGGGTATCGGCAGCCTGTGTGAGCACAGAGGTGGAGATGCAGTCATCAAAGCCAACCCCCACCTCCCAGTACAGTCCTGCTGTATAATCCCTTCACCGTGTTTTTGCTTACCTAGAGGAGATGAGCAGAATACTCAAGCTGGGATACTGTTAAATACTGTACAAGGCGGCTTAAGCATCAGAATACACGGGGCAAAAACTGTTACACCTTATCTTCATCCTAGAAGAGCCCATCAGCTCACAGTCCAGGAAAATAAGCTGAATTATTTTTTCCTGAACAGGAGGAGCTGGGTTCTTTTAATATATATACACACAAATATATTTGTTTTTATATGTATATTTATATATATTTACATATGTATTTATATAGATGCAACTAATCTATACTCCATCCAGCCACCCTCGATTTCTGCCTCTCACCAAAGCACTAAACGGGGGTGCCACAGGGGGGCACAGCTCACCGCACATGGCCAAAATACTTAAACAGAAGTCTCACCGGGAGCTCACCGCCATCCTGCACTCCCGTGCACCCCCTGCGGTGGCAGAAGGCAAAGTATCCTATACGTCCCCAAAGCGTCACTTTCCCCTGTGGCTGGTCAGTGGATGGACGCTCATCAGCACATTGATCTCTTGCAGGAATCAGCTTTTGTAACTCCCATGCAGCTTCTGGAACAACCTGCTGCTTTTTTCTTGCTTTTTTTTTTAAATTTATTTTTATCTTGGGCAGGTAGCCATCTTCCAGAAAGCCTCTTCAGCTCTTCCTGGCTGCAGGGACCATAGTATCCGGAGCCCTGGGTGCTCCCCATCAAATAATGCCGATTATTTTTTTTTCTTAATTGTTCGACTGCCCCTGAAAAAAAGCCCCAAATATCAAATGGCAAAGGAAAAAAAAGCTGCAGCGTCCTAAAAGAGGAACAGGAGTTGGGACCAGCAGCCTGGGCTGGTCCAGGCAGATGGCTGGGCGTCCCGCTGCCTGGCAAGTGCAATTTTGGGGTTTTTTGGAAACGTGAATGCCAAGGGGGGGAGACAGCAGCTAGGTCGCCCTGAGGGATCTCTCCTTGAGTTGGTGAGGCCCTGAAGGGGATCTGGAGGGTCCGGAGCTGTTGGGGACAACAGAGACCAGCGGTGGGGTCGGGGGTCCCCCCTCATCCCAGATGCTGCCCAGTCTCCCCCGAGGGACCCAACCTCGCTCCTGGACTCTGCTGAAGGGGCGGACCACCGACCTGCCCACCCACACTCGGGGACACCCCAGGGACCCTGCTGCCTGGGAGGGGCAGACCCCACTCACTCGGCCCTCCCCCCCCTACCTCCAGGACCGCCAGTGCCACCCTAAAGGGTGCCCGTGGGATGGGGGTCAACACTATTGGGGGCAGTATCTGGAATCACAGAGGCTCCTTCAGGGCAGGAAGGGGGGCATCCGGGGGGCCCCTTGACGCACCTGGACCCCAGCGTTCATGGAGGGGCCGAACGCCGAGGATCCGCACCAGAGACGGGCACCTGGTTTGTTTATGTATTTATTTATTTATTTATGTAGGAAAAGCACCTTATTCCCGTTGCTCATTAGCCCAGGGCATCGCCAGGGCCACCACCGGTGCCACCAGCTCCCACCGCCAGTTTGCACCCGTTGCTCCCCATCTCCCAGGCAAAACCCACCCCACGCAGGCCTCGGCCTTGTGCTGGGGGCCAGGGGAGGAGATGTCTTTCCTAGTGTGGGGGGAAAAAAAAAAAAAGGACAAAAAGAGAAAGCCGTGACGGTTTCATCACCCAGGGTTGCACCCCGAGCCGCCGGCCT